GGAAAAAGGGGAAGGTTTAGTGGAAAAGATGAGTTCATTTAAAGTATGTTGAGTTTTGGTTGTCCATAGGACATCCAGTTCAGGACATCAATAGTCACCTGGAAATGTGAGACTAGAGGTTAGAAGAAGAGTTAAGGGCTAGACAAATAGATCTGAGAGTATTCTGCATAGAGATGATAATGGAAACCATGGGAGTTGATGAGATTACCAAGTGAAATAGTATAGAGCAAGAAAAGCAAAAGGCCTAGGATAGAGATTACCAAGTGAAATAGTATAGAGCAAGAAAAGCAAAAGGCCTAGGACAGGATAGAACACCCATGGTCAGTGGGCATGACTTGTATGAATATCCAGCAAAGGAGATTGAGAACAGGTAGTTAGAACTAGGAGAGCATAGTATCATAAAAACCTAGAGAAGAGAAGAGGGCAATCAACAATGTCAAAGACTGCAGAGACACCAAGAAAGATGAGGGTTGAAAAAGGCCATTAGATGTGGTGTTTAAGAGATTGTTAGTAACTTCAGGGAGATTACTAATGATGTTAAATGCCAGATTATAGAGAATTTAGAGTAAAGTGAAAGGAAAGGAAGTGGAAGGATATTGTGGTATATGATTGTGATGGAATACTATTGTGCTATAAGAAATGATGAAGGGGATGGCTTCAGGAAAAAAAAACACACAACAACCTGGGAAGACTTATATGGACTGATGCAAAGTGAAATAAGCAAAATCAAGAGAACATTGTATACAATAAGAGCAATATTGTAAGGATGATCAACTGTGAAAAACTTAGCTACTCTACTTAATACAATGATCTAAGGCAATTCCAAAGACTCATGATGAAAAATGCTATCCACCTTCAGAGAAAGAGAGAACTGATGAATACTGAGTGAGGATTAAAGCCTATTTTTCTTTATTTTTTTTTTGCTTTTTTTTTGCAACATTACTAATATGGAAATATGTTTTACATGACTTCACATGCATAATCAATATCAAATTGCTTGCCTTCTCAAGGAGGGGAGAGGGATGGGAGGGAGGGAAATAATTTGGAATTCAAAAGTTAAAAAAAAAGAATGTTAAAAGTAAATGAATTAATTTTTTTTTAAAGAATGAACATGTAGGAATAAATTGCACTTCTATGGCACTTCAAGTTTTATAAAGTGCTTTCTTCACAACACTGTGAAATAAGTAGTGTAACAATTTTTATGAAAGGCAGTCTATCACAGTAGATAGAGTGCTGAATTTGAAGTCAAAAGAAATGGGTTCAGATTATACATCAGAAGCTTAATTGTTGTGTGATCCTTGGAAAACTACTTAACTTTCTTAAGTCTAAATTCCCTTATCTATAAAATGGTGACCGTTATCACCTACCTCATGGGGCTATTTTTAGCATAAAATGGCATGATGCATTACACTACTTTGTAAATCTTAAATCACTATATTAATATAAGCTTATTATTATCTCAATTGTGCAAATGGGGAACATTGAGGCCAAGCAGTTCAATGACCTATTCAAGGTCATGAAGCTTAGTGTCAGAGCTAGGATTAAAACCCAAGTTTCCTGTATCCAAGTCTAGCACTTTTTATACTAATTTAAAAAAAAAGTAAAAATAAGTAAAATTTATTGAGAATAGAGAGGATAGGATAGGATAATTTGATTTGTGACCTGTACAAATTCAAGTAATAAGAAGTCATATACTTATGAATTTTTCATGTAATTATAATATAATTCTTATAGTTAGAATCCATCATAATATTATACAGTATTTTAAAATAATTTATATACCTATGAGACATATGCATGAGTTTTTATATTTCATTCAAGTCATTCTCACCTGAAATATACTTAGGCACATTTTCCAGAAGTGATAAATGATATACAGTTGTTTTCATTGTAGATCTTATTCTCGCCCCATATATTTTAAAATACATATTCTACACTGTAGCTCAATATCAATAGTTGGCTCTATATAATTATGCACCCACTTGCTATCATTCTTGTCACAAAATGTCAAGAAGAAACCTTTAATAACAAATTGAACCCAGTCTAATGTAATTCCTTATTTATAGTGTTAGATCTGCTCCTGGAAGAATGAGATCTTCCCATGAAGTTGACTACTCCTCCCTCTTGGAGGTCTAATTGTCTCCTAGCCTGTAACTATATCCCTATTTTTCAGAGGGCTGCAGATTTCTAGAACCTTTGAAATAGAATGTTCCTTTTTGATTTAGTCAAGTGATAGTGTTTTCTCTAGAAGGGTTGGATTGAGACTCTTTCCTGAATTATTGCTCAATCAGCCATAGGATCCAAGTCAAGCAAATCCAGGACATAGACTATTACAAAAGACTGGGCTTTCTTGTATCTTAAAATAGTGATGCTGCCCTCTGTAATGCTGGCTTGTGCTGATTTCATAGATTTGGAGACGGTCTGGGTTGTTAGGAACATTGGAAAGAATTTATTGCACCTTGAATAGAATTACTATCTATAACATTCCTGACAACCAGTAATCCAGCCTCTGCTTGTTGTAATAGAAAGGATATTGGCTTTGGAATCAGAGAACTTGGGTTAAAAAGCTTTGGCTCTAGCATATGCTACTTGTATGACCTTGGGCAAGTCCCTTAACCTTGTGGAACTTAGTTTCTTCATATAAAAGAAAAGAGTATTGGACAAAATGATTTCTAAAATTGTTTCAAGCTTTAAATCCCATGATCCCATAATATCCTATGATAAGGATCATCCATTCTATTCTTCCTCCACCAATAACCACCATAAATTATCAACATTAAAAAATCCAAAGTATATTATATTTTCTCGGATAGATAGGTAAAGGAAAGAATAAAAAGAAATCTAGTGAGAATTTATCTTTGGAGGCAAAACCTAGTATTTAGCTTAATTACTCAAGATAATCTAAGCTATAAATGAAATTATTAAAAACAAGCACAAGATATTTTGATCAGAAAACAACTTTACCAATGCTGAACCATAGTAAATATGTCTGTTGTTTTCCTTGATAGCTCAGTAGTTTTGTTTTTTCCTTTACATGATTCCTCTTTTCTTTCCCATTGAGATGCAATGACTGACATATTTGCTGACCCCACTAACTTCAAGTGAGAATGTTATAAATAAAATTCCAAGTGTGGAAGCATTTTAATGTTCTCCTTGCATCATGTAAATGACAGGAAAACTTTAAAAAAAAACTTGCCAGCCAGGGAAACAAAGGTGGGTTTGTGTTTAGTTTATATTTTTGGTATTTTCTCAACTTTTCCTGTTAATTCTTTGTCTTTATTTATATCTATGTTTTTGACATTAGCTGGTGAGATTTTGAGTAAGATGAGAGTCTTTGTTTCACTTTATATTTTCAAAAAAAAATGAGCAAAAGGTAACAGACCTGAAATAAGTTGCTCTGAAATGAACAATGGGGGAAGAAGAGTTGACTGACCTGACTACTGGTTAACAGCTTTTTAGTCTCTTTGTTATTTCCATGGCTATTATTTTCAAAATCACTGACCTAAACTTGCTAGAAAGGCTCTATCAGAAGATATTTAGCTATATATGGGAGTATGACATAGAAAAGAAGAAGAAGAAAAGTAAGAGATTGAAAAAGGGGAGGGAGGAATAAAGGGAGAGACAGAGAGAAAGAGACAGAGTGACAGAGAGAAAGATAGAGAGAAAGAAAGAGAGAGACAAAGACAGAAATAGAGACAGAGAGAGACAGGCAGAGAGACAAAGAGACCGAGACTTAGAAAATATTATTTGTCAAACATTCAAGTCCTGAAAAAAATCCATGTGCTTGTGGGAGAATTACATGTGACCATCAGTGTACAGTGTTTGTGAGGTGGTGCATACTACTGTATATATACATTTGGGAGGCTATGTTTGAGTAATGTTTTCCTTTCTTTTGAAGCCCTGTTACATAATCTATAGTTTTTATAGTATAAGACACCCAGAATTATTCTTCACTGAATTTTCATGGCAAAAACAATGAAGTTGAATCCTTCTGCTGAATCTTCTCTGAGTATATTTTCAAAACCTTTCTTCTGTAATCATGTCCATTATGAATCAATAATATCACTAGGGATCCAAGCAAAACATTTGCTTGTTTTTGCATTTGGTGTTTTCATAAAATGAATGTTAGGCAAAGAAAGTGAATGAGACATCAGTTTCTAGCTATCTGGAGCTCAAAATTATAAATCAATATTTGAGAAGGCAGAATAAATTCCTGCCACTCATTTTTGATGCCCAATTTACATTTCTGCATCCAATAACCAGTTACTGTGGAAAACAAAGTGATTTTTCCTTTGTAATAATAGTAATAATAATAATAAAAATTATGGGTCATGCCATGTGAGACAGAGAATTCCTTACTATTCCCCCAGCTGACCTAGAACCTATTAGGAAACACGGTGTAGTGGAAAATGAACCAAATTTGGGGCCAAAGGACTTGGGATCCAATCCCAATGTTGTTTTTTTTTATTTTCTTGTGACTTGGTATGAGGTATTTTACCTTTGTGGGTCTTAGTTTCTTCATCTGTAAAATGAAAAGGCTGCAATAGATTATCTCTAAAGTTCCTTCTGAAGATGCCAAAATGGAATTGGATGCCTCATGAAGTGGTGAGTCCTCATCAATGGAAGCATTCGAGCACAGGATGGATGAATACCTCATACGCTATAGTATGGGGATTCTTGTTTTGGTAAGGGTTGGACTAGATGGCTTTTGAGACTCTTTCAAACTGTGACATTCTGTGTTTCTGTGATTTTGTGGCCTTTCTTCCCCTCCCCCACACGCCCACAGCTAAGCGGGAGTGAAAGCCTCTTCTCTCCCCTAAGCATCCTCTGTCCCTCTCGCTGAGTTTGATCTGTCAATAACCTAGGAAGGTGAACAACACCATTAGTCACCAGAGGGCGCCACATCCTTAAGTACCAAGACTGGTACTTGGAAGTTCAGACGCTCCATGGCAAAGGCAGTGCCCGCGTGGACTGCATCCCGGGCAAAGCAGATCACCAGGCAAAGATGAAGCGAGCACCACTTGGCCAGATTCCGCAGCGCTTCCGGACCGCGCTACCGAGAGTGTGAGCCCTACTTCGCAAAGGTTTGTGAACAACCACTCCCTAGGGACTCTAGAAGGCCAGTCAATCCTTGTTCTGAGTGGACTGGTGCACTCACCGTCTTTGTTGGTCACTAGCTGGGTGTAGGGTGACAGGATACTGTATTAAGGCTATTTGTGTTTGCTTGGCTTTGTGTCTTGTTGTTGGAGTTGTGCTGGCACCGGAATGGTATTTTTGGAGGGCTGGGGGTGTGTGTGTTCAGGTGTGCCTATAGGTACATATATGTTCTCTCTCTCTCTCTCTCTCTCTCTTTCTTTCTCTCCCCCCCTCCCTCTCCCTAATACTGTCCAACGTTAGAATGATGGTTTTAATTAGGCGGAGTCTGTGCGCCTTGGAATGGGTGGTTTATTTCTTTGTGTGTCCCCGAGAGTCCTGTCTGATGTGACCGTCTCACAAAACAGTCCAGCCCAGAAAGGCATTCTGGGTCTCCAAGTTGATAATGTGGCATAAATACCTCAGATAGGGAGGAGTTGGAGTTGGTGTGTATGCCTGGAGCGAGCGGGTTCGAAATTAAGTTAAGGAAAGAGTTTCCAAAATGCCCTTCTTTGTGCCCAAGGAAGTCAAGTCCCGAGTCAGAAAGGAGGGGGTTGGAGAACGGGAAGGGGAGGGGAGAAGGAGGGCCCGGGAATCCGCCCTCCGTGGGATGTAGTCCTTGGGGAAGGTACCGGGGGTGGAGCGTGGGGGTATGGGCAGAGCCCGTCAGAAGACAGGTCCCATCTCTACCTCCTGGTCTTTTTCAGAAACCCTGGAGTGCTGCGGAAATCACCCTGGCCCTCAGACTGGAGCGGTGATGCAGAAGGAATGTAGAGGGTCCTGACTCCCAGGTTGGAGTCTGGTTCAACCTAAAGCGCAACTCGAGGGGGTCCAGATGTGACCCAGCTCCAGGGAGGGGGCGGGAAGAGCTTCTCTGGGCCAGCGACTCCCCACTGTGCTCTGACCAGCCTTCGAGGGAACCACCCACCCAGTAGCTGAGAGAGGTCAAGCTCGGACCAGAACCTCAGAGGGACTTGACAACCGAGATCAGCCAAGGTTTGAGTCGAGAGTCCTTCCCGACTTCTCTTTTTTATTATCAGGACTAAGGGGGCTGGAGAGAAGGAAGCAAAAAAAAAAAAAAAAAAAAAAATTGTGTGTGTGCGAGGGTGGGGGGAGGCTGACGCCTCATTTTCATAGTCTCTGGGGAACCTTTCCTTGATTCCCTCTCGGGATGAAGAAACTCCAGATCCCGGGATAATAGCTCCTCACTTGGTGGAAGGTCCAGCTCCCTAGGCTTTTTCTCGAGTGGAACATGCAAAGCACCGCCAGGTTCATCGGTAAGCCTTGTAGCCCTGAGCATTCTACTCCCTAAATCTGAGGAGTTCCAGGCTGGGTGGGAACTGGGAAGGGGGACAAGGCTTCTGTACTGCCCACAATTCACCTACTCCTGCTTCCTGCTGGGTACCCAATGTCAGGCTCAAAGGTTTGTTTAAGAGTCAGCTGGGGACCAAAAAGCATTCCCACCCTTCTTCATTGAATTTGGCAATGAAATTGGAGACCTGGCTCTTTTTCTTCTGAACTTCCAGCTACCAGACCCAGGCCTCAAAGCCTTTGATTAGCCCCTGTTTGCATTTGGGATTAGATTCTAAGCTACTAGCCAGGAGACAAACTCTGATTTTTCAAACTGAGGGAGTCTTAGATTAACAGATACTCATAGTTAGAACATTCAGCTAGAAAGACTCAAAAATGTCCTTGTTAAGAAAGTCCTTAACATAAAATACCTTTGATTTGTTTCTAGGGCTAAGGAAATTGAAATTAGCCAGCAAAGAAGTCCAGGATTCTCTCAATCCACTAACAGAACATCAGGCATCCATCCAAGAGGTCATATGGAGGATGTTAAACACCAAACAAAGGAGCACTTCTTGATGTGGATGTTGGGAAATTATATTAGAAATTGAATGTCATTTAATGTGACAAGCTCCAGTGGGACTGACAAGCCAGAGGAATGGACAGTAGATTCCTAGATTTACCTCTGTCCATAGTATATTCACCTAACAAGCTCTCCTGTGTGGTGGGTGTCTCTCTGTGGAGATACTGAGAGGGATACACAAGGGGCCAGCCAACCTCTGGAAGGGCTCATACTGAAATTGGAAAATGGAAATCATCAGCAAAGTCTAAGATGCCGAGGTAACTTTACTAGCACTCTTGTGGGACCTGGGTTCAATTCCTAACTCTATGATTTATTACCTGCAGACCTTGGATAAGTCACATCTGGACCTCAGTTTCCTCATTTTTAAATTAGAGGATTGCAGTAGATGACCTTGAAGGTCCCTTGCAGCTCTAGTCCTTTGATTTTGTGACTTGGGTTGTAAATTACAAATACCTATCCGAGAATTTGCTGCCAATTGTTATTGGAATATAGACATCCATGTAAGGGTGAAGAAATTGCAACAGAAGCTCTGAATCAGCTTGGTGAGTAATTTACAAAGGACTGATTGATGGATGAGTAACCCTTACAAGGGGAAGGAACAAAACACACACTGAAACACACAATAGATTTACCCCTAGGAGACATAATGCCCTTGAATGACACAACTATGGACAGAGAAGGGCTGGTGGTGGAAAGGGACTTCTCCTTCCGAATCCTTACTGCCTGCTTCCTCTCACTGCTGATCTTGTCTACACTTTTGGGAAACACATTGGTATGTGCAGCTGTCATCAGGTTCCGACACCTAAGGTCCAAGGTGACCAATTTCTTTGTCATCTCCTTGGCTGTCTCTGACCTCTTAGTGGCTGTCTTGGTCATGCCCTGGAAAGCTGTTTCAGAGATTGTGGGTTTTTGGCCCTTTGGCTCTTTTTGCAATATCTGGGTGACATTTGATATCATGTGTTCCACAGCCTCCATTCTAAACCTCTGTGTTATCAGTGTTGATAGATACTGGGCTATCTCCAGTCCCTTTCGCTATGAGAGAAAGATGACCCCCAAGGCAGCCTTCATCCTGATCAGTGTTGCTTGGACTTTGTCTGTATTGATTTCCTTCCTTCCAGTGCAGCTGAATTGGCACAAGTCCAGAACCCTGAGCTCACCAGATGGGAATGTTAGTTCCCAAGGTGAGACAATGGACAACTGTGACACTCGACTGAACAGGACATATGCCATCTCTTCTTCTCTCATTAGCTTTTATATTCCGGTGGCCATCATGATAGTCACATACACAAGGATCTACAGAATTGCACAGAAGCAAATACGACGAATCTCAGCTTTGGAGAGAGCAGCCGTCCATGCCAAGAACTGCCAGAACACAACAGGAAATGGGACTAATGTGGAGTGTTCCCAATCAGAAAGTTCCTTCAAGATGTCCTTCAAGAGGGAAACCAAAGTTTTAAAGACTCTGTCTGTGATCATGGGAGTGTTTGTATGCTGCTGGCTACCTTTTTTCTTATTCAACTGCATGGTCCCCTTCTGTGAATCTGATTTGCATTCTGAGGAAACAAAGCCCTTCTGTATTGATTCTATTACCTTTGATGTTTTTGTTTGGTTTGGATGGGCAAATTCCTCGCTGAACCCCATCATTTATGCCTTCAATGCTGACTTCCGCAAGGCATTTTCGACTCTCTTAGGATGCTACAGGCTCTGTCCCACTGCTAATAATGCCATAGAGACAGTTAGCATCAACAATAATGGGGCTGTGTTTTCAAGCCATCATGAGCCCAGAGGGTCCATTTCCAAGGAGTGTAATCTGGTTTACCTGATTCCACAAGCTGTTACCTCCCCACGAGACTCAAAGAAGGAAGAAGGTGGAGGATCAAAACCGTTGGAGAAAACCTCTCCAGCTTTATCTGTCATTTTGGATTATGAAGTTGATGTATCTTTGGAAAAGATTAGCCCCATCACACAGAATGGACAACACAAGACCTGAACCGTAAGACGAATCCTGCAAAATATACCATTCAAAAATACAAACCTTACAAGATTCCCTTTTGTTTGTTGTTGAGAAACTAAGCTATGGTGAGGTTTCATGCTCATCACAAAAGAGCTGACTGCTGCTTCTACTCAGCATACAACTTTGTTTTAAAACCCAGCCCAGTATATTTTTGATTTGTAGGTATTTCTGTGTTGTTCATACTGAATGAAACAGAGACCCAACTAAAAGGTAGAAGACAAGGAACACCTCATCAGTTCTATAATTATTTATAGAAACTAGTTTCTATCTTAGTGACTGAAAATAGGACAAGAGATCAAGAATTAACAGTGATACTTAAAAAAAAAAATCACCACTCCCAGAAAGAAAGAAGAGCATTGAGTTTGCCATGTATAAATAGGTGCTAACATGTTTCAAATCAAGTTTTTAGATTGTAAAGTTAGGTAAATGCCTTTGTAAATTATTTCTGGAAAAAAATGAGCCTTATAGTAAGACTGAGTATTTTTAAGTTTGGGAGATGCTTTGTTAATACTGGTTTTATTTATTTATTGTTTTAAATGCCATTTTTAATATGTTACAACAAATTTATTTATCTTATTTAAAAATATCTGATGGGAGATCTCTGAGATGTCATGATTACAATTTTTTTGATCATTCAAGTGGACAGCATTTTAGTGTCAGTTGGTATTGAAACTGTTGACAAAAACACACATAGTTGGAGTAAATTTGCTTGTGTATACCTCAAAATTACAACAAAAGCTAAGAGGGAATAATGTTGAGCTATGACATTTCTTCTGAATTCAGCAGAGATCAATACAGGATCAGAGCCTACAAGGAAAAAAAAATGACTGCAACTTTTTTTTTCTAATAAGGATTTAAAAACACAATGGATTGCTGCTATTCTTTTCATTATTTTCCCATTACAAAGAGGTCTTCTTAAGAAAACAGTCAGCAGCTTTGTAAATACCTTCCACAGGAAAACTAACTTAAGAGGAATCATGCTTCCAAGTTGAGATCTTAGCCCCTGGCAACCAGAAGCATCAGGCGCTTTGTATTTATGTAAAATAATTGGCTTCTCAGTTTTTTCTTATTTCAAGTGTTGGCTATCTTTTTTTTTTCCTTCCTGAACAAAACCAATGACTGGCGATAGAAATGCATAGTGACTCTATTAAGGCTTGTTATCTACCACCTGTGTATTTACAGCAACACCTGTAGTACAGAGCACACTGTGTGTCATATTCCTTTAACACATGGGCTACTTTCCTGCTTTACTTTTGAACCGGGAATCAAATCATTTTTCAGTTTTATCCATGAACAAACAGCAGTGCCTCATTACCATCTAGGATTAAGATGTTTCTGGAGGGGTTGGACAGGGAACCCTGTTATTTTCCAATGTATTGCCAGCATCAAAAAGTCACCCACATTTCTTTTGTGGCTACAGATGCTTCCACTGTACTTTCAGCAAAGTTCCTGTTTCTTTTGATCCCTTTGAGCTGTGAAGAGCATTCATTTTGCAGCAACATCCAGGTGATGGAATAATCCTGTGTGCTCCAAGAGAGGAACTTGGTTCATAAATGCTTGACTGCATCTTCTTTGGGAGGAACTGCTTAATGTAATACTGTGGGAGGGGGAAAGTAAATATTTACTGAAAGAATACATCCTGCATCAGGTCTGTGTTATATATATGTATTGTGAATGTTTTCCTAAGGTTTTTTTTTGCTTGTATGTTTTCATACATATAATAAAATTATTTTGTGGACACAAATGGAAACAGAAGCATTTACATTGCATTCCTTAAAAACACATTGCTTTGGGTTTTTCAGATTCAGACATCAGGAGGAAAAAAATATATAGGATTCACATTCAAGTAGCAGTCTGGTGAAAGAGAAAGGGAACTGGATTTCAAGTCAGACTGGATTTGATTGCATCTCCGTATTGACATTTACTTATCATGTGACTCTGGGAAGGGAACTTTAACTTCTGTGAATCTTAGTTTCCCCATACACAAAATGGGCACATACTTCTTGAAGTCCCTTCATCACAGGGTTGTTGTGAGAAAAATGCTTCTCTGTAAACTTTAAGGCAATGCATAAACCAGTTATTGTTTTGATAAGTACATGGGGGTTTTTAGTGGAAATGTCTTCTGTTAGATGCTGTTCTACTGTTAAACACATAAGGATGTTCAGAAGCAAAAAATGTGTGATTTCAAAAATATCTCTATGCTTTCAGCTTTACGCATCTTAATCTTGCCTTCATTTTGCATCTTTGAAAAGGAACAGTCTTTAGGGTTTAAGAACATTTGAAAAGGAACATTCTTTTGGATTCTGGTTATGATTTCATAGACTTGAAAGGTTATTAAGAGCTGTTTTCTATTTTCAACCCAAATCATTTCAGCAAGGATTTATTAAGCAAGAGTGTGTTACAATGGAGAAAAAACACATTGGCTCAGGAGTCAGAGAACCAGGGTTTAAATCCATTTTACTACTTTGGTAACCTTGGTCAAACCACTTAACCTTAGTTTTCTCATCTGTAAAATGAAGGGGATGTATCAAATGGTTGCTGATGTACCTTCCAGCTCTAGATCTTTGGTTTCCTGCCCTACAACATGCAAGGGTCTATGATTAGTTCTGGGGATACAGAGATAAAAGACAACCTAGTCTCTACTTTTAAGTATCTTATTGTCTAATACTACTTATACTGGCACACAGTTTTTCTTTTCTTTTCTTTTTTTTAAAATCAAATAGCTAGCAACTATTTAGAGCATGGTTGTTTGGTGTTGAAATCTATTGTTCATGGTAGGTAGCATTGTGTAGCATGTGGACTTGAAGCCAGGAAATCTGAGTTTCGTTTGTAGCCCCCCTTTTAACCTCTGGTCACTTCCCCTCTCTGTCAGTTCAAAGCACTGTGTTAAACATTTTGGATGCAAAAAAAAAATAAAACTAAACTAAATTAAACTAACAAACTAACAAAAAAAAAAACCACTCTCAAAGAACTAGAATTCTAATGAGGAGACAACATGTAAACAACTTTGTACATACAAGATAAACATGGTGTAAATGGTAGGTAATAAAGAAGGCACTTGGATTTCTCCTTTAAAATGCTAATGGCTTGAATTACTGTACTGTTTTAAGCTTTTAAAGTCCTTACCGGAACCTCTTGGATTAAGCAGTACAGGTATTGTAGTTCTTATTTTATAAATGAGGAAACTGAGGTTCAAAGAGTGGAAATGATTTACTGAGCTAGTTAGACTGGAGGAAACAGAGGTCTAATATTCTATGTTATGTTCCCTACTCTAAGTTTCCATTCCAGTCTAAACATTCTATGATTCTGAGATACAATAAAATATATAAGTAACTAGATGTAGAATGTTTTATTCTTTGCAAGAATACATGAATCATTTTACTGGATTATCAAGTGCTCCCTGCTAGGAAATATCTCTTGGTACTACTGAAAATACCTGATCTTGTTAAGAAGTCATTTTTTTCCCCCAGAGGAATGCTGGTGACTGACCAGTAGGTGAAATGGAGGCTGAGCTAGCAAGCAGAGGATTAAGTCTACCATTCTGAATATCACACAGCAGATGGTGTCTTTTCAGTTTCCCCATTTGTCTTCCTGGGAACTAGAAGAGAATAAACTTATCTGCACTTAGCACCCAGAATGCATCATGGTTTTTCTTTTAGCCATATTTATTTTTTCTGAGAACTTTGCTGCACTGAAGGAGAGTTTCCTTTCTCAGTATGAAGTTGCATATTGTGGCAACTAAGATGCTCTAAATGATGTCATTTTCCAATTGAGAAAATGAAGTTAAAAAAAAAACACCTATCCCTTTTTTAATTATAAACCTAGATAAATGATTTACTTTGGTGAAAGAACAAAGTAAATGACATACCTAGAAATTATATCAAACAATTGCAGGATTCAATACAATATCAAAAAGACTATAATTTTCTCTCTTGGCATGTTGGATTGATAGATAAAATGCATCTTAGTAAATGTTAATTTCACTGAAAGGAGCTTCGAAAGAACTCAATTTGCAGCTCTAAAAGCAAAATTACAGCATGACTTACATTTAACCTTTAACTATTCATTGCTCTACCTTATTAATGCTAAGTCTAAGTAAAACACTTTACTAATATAGACATTTAATTTGAGGGAGGTTTCCCCCACCTTTCTGAGAAGGCTCTTTTTTCCCTTTCTCATAATGAAACAGATGAAAAACTCTAAACTGGTGGTTAAAGTGACAGGAGACTGGGTAGAATTGATGAAGCAAGAAGCTTGGGACTCAAGAGATCTGAGTTTTAATTATGGCCCTCTTGTTGACTTTCCCCTGAGATGGAAGAAGGGGCGTTGTAAGGCTCATATTAAAAAATGCATGGAAAATGCTCTGCCAACCTTAAAGTGCTATGTAAATGCTATTTTATTAGCATTAAGTTATTACAATATTGTTTTATTACTATTATTATTGTTATTAGCCTGCAGTCCCCAGGCCTCTAGTCTAATGATGACTTAATTCTCCAAGTCTTCTGCATTCCTGCTGAGCTCAATCAAATACATATAAATATATAATTATATATATATATTATATACATATGTGTATACATACATATATGTGTATATACATACATATATATACAGAGAGACAGAGAGAAATACAGGGTCATGTTGGTAAATATTTAACAAAAAAGCTCAACAGAAAGGAAAAGCAGACACTCAATTTAAACTTAATCTGCATTATTAACACTTTCTTAAGTCTAGTAATCAACAAAATAATAAATCAAGCTCTGATTTGAAGTGACTGGCAATTTCTGAGGTACAAATGCTCATAATGAAAATTTAACAATCAGCTTGGAGAGTCAGATGACAGCTGGCTCCAGTATATCCCGGAATATAAGGCAAGTCATTGAACTGCTTCCCTTTAATTTTTCCCATTTGTATCACAAGAATGGTAGAATTCTCCTATACTTTTGGTAATCCACATCTCTATCTTGGATACTCCATAGCAAAAATGACAATTGACATTTTTACAGCACTTTAGGTTTATAAGGTATTTCCTATTCTTTATATGGTACATAGTAGGGCTTAATAAATGCTTAATGACTGATTATCTTTTAGTTCTCACAACAAACCTGTAGTTTTAATGCAAGATGTCCCAAAAGTCTTAGTGCCATTTTAAACTTTCAATAGCTTAAAATTGCACTAAAACTTTTTGGGCTACCCTGTATATGGAGTGGTTAATGTCATCATAATACAATAGCTATAATTATCCTTATTTAGAGATAGGGAAACTAAGGCTGAGAGGGTAAGTTACCCAATGACACAGCTAGTAAATGGAAAAGTCTACATTGATTTATTGGCATTCAAATAATTTCTTTTGAGTTTTTTTTAATCTTTTGGAAATGCCTTTTGTGTTTGATATGATAGGCATTTCCAAATATAATCCTTTCACACTTAACATAAACATATGTTGGATC